TCCCTATGGCATGTTAAAATTTTCATAGTTTGAGAACAAAAATTCTAGGTGATCACTTGGAATGCAAGGCAAAATACTCTCATATTCCTCCTCGGTGGGTTATTAGGTTCTTATATGGTAAGTCGTGCGTTTTAGGTGTCCACCGTGTCTTGATGCTTGAACTGTTCTGCTGAAAACAAAACAACCCCTAAGTGGTCATGTAGGCTAGAACGTGAACTAAATACTCTAAAGACCAGACTCACCCTGGTTAGCTTGCCAACCCCGTTGGTAACATATTTTAGGACCATGACATTCTCTATAAATATTTGCTCATCTAGAAACATATTCACTGGTGAGGACTTTCAAGATACCAGTTAAACACCGGCTCTTACCTGATGATAGTAATGACAGCTATAGAATTTTTAAAATAGTTTTTACAATATATTTTCTAAGAAACATTTGAATATGATAAAAGAATGACCTAAAGTTTCTTTTATCTTTCTTTGAAATGAACACATGTATATTTATATTTATTTCCTATGGGGAGGGAGTCACCCTACAGATTTCTCTCCAGCATAGTTTTTAAAAAAGCAAGTAACAAAAATACAAAGGATTATGAAGAAATGAATGCATATTGGAATGTACAAGGCCAGGTACACAGGCCTGAAAGTTCTATGATCAGTTAAAGAACCTAGTTCCAAGCAATCTCTTGATAAATTTGTTATTTAAAGGTGAGTTGAAAGCATCTCAATGAAACATGTTGGAATAAGTGTTGGCAAGGGAAACAAATTTAGCCACTCATAGGGCTGGGAAAATAATGGGAATGCAAACCAGAAGGGTGGTGAGTGGCCAGGATCATCACAGAGTGCAAAGCACATGCCTTGTCCTGCGGGAATCCCTGTGATGAGGGCCAGTAGATTTCTGCCACATGGGGATGTGGGTTCTGTATGGGCCTGCCTCCACTTTTTTGAAAGCAAGGTATCTGGATTTTTATATGAAGTACCCATACTGGTTAATGTTGGACAAAGAAAAAGTTGATACTGAGACAAAGAAAGCTTTACCAGGTTTGTCCAGAGGCCTGCAAGTTTATGATTTCAAGAAAATAAGAGAAGTTGGAAGAAATTAATTACTTAATTTTACTATACTTTCTCTCTATCAGTATCTTTATTACATTTATTTTTAAAACATAAGAATTACTTTAAACAACTTCCTTCCTGTAGTGGCAATATGTAGCAAGAGAGCAATCAGTAGCTTCTAGAATACTTTAATTCTTGTACTATTTATTGAACACTTACTTCTGCATGCTAGGCAATTACAAACTGGTAAGAAGAAAGAGAGGAAGACACTGACTTTGTCTCAAGAGCTTAGAGACCAGTTTAGAAAGAGTTGTGCCAAAAGTTAATAATATGACAGGTTAAGTAAAAAGCCTATCACAGAGATAAAGTACAACAGGAGTAGGAGGGAAGAAAACACAAGGTTTCCCAGGAGACTGAGAAGGGTTCTCAGGTGAGAGATCTCTTTTAGCAGAACTTTATATAAACTTATTAATCATTGAATTGGATGTGTTTAAGAAGTACACTTTCATACTAAAAGAAAATGAGCCATTAAAGAATTCTGCACAGGGAAAGAGCAGAGTCACACTTTTCCTAACCCTCACTGCTGCATTATAGAATATGGTCTACAGGTGGAGACAGAGCCAAGAATGAAGACTCAAGATGATTTTGGGAGTTGAAGGCAATGCAGAAAGACAGCGGCAGAAGTGGCGAACCAAGACTATTTGTTGGAAAGAGATTTAGAGGAGAGAAAAGAAAGAACCTAGTGACTGACTGTATGCTTATGGGCAAAAAAGAGGAGAGCTGAGAACAACTCATAGGACTTTCACTGAGTGCAAGTCTAGTTTAAAAGAGTGTAATCTCTGAGGCCAGGTTACCAGAGTTCAAATCTTACTACTTCGGCTTATTTGCTATGTGACTTTAGACAACTTATTTATCATCTCTGAGTTTTCATGTCATATGTGTGTCAAGTACTTTAGCAAGAGTGCTTACACTAGAATTCTGGCTAGGGTGGCAGTGCCATTCGGTCTGTTTTAGAACACTAAACATTGCAGTTGATGTGCTTCCAGAACATTCTAAATTTTTGTGAGTGCACGTGTGGATCCCAGTTTGAGAAGACTTTACTGGGCAGAGTGTGCATGGTCTTTTACACAGAGGAAATTGCCTAGGATGCTTTTAGAGAAGAAAGCCAGGGCTTTAGTTTCCAAGATGCTGATGCTTGTTGGAAAACACAGGAAGCCAAATCTGCCAGGGATCATGAGAAGAGGAGGCCAGACAGGTAGCAGAGAAAGACCAAATAGCAGTGTCTGAAAATCAAGAGAAGAAAGAGAACTAGAAAGAGTACAGTCAACACAGAAAAGGCCCTAACTAGTCAAGTATACCAGTAAATAGTTATATTTCACAATTAAGAAATCTTTAATAAAGTAATTTAAAACAATGACTTGGTATTTGACATGTAGAGAACATTCAAATGCTAGTTTTTACTATCTTTAATTTTAAGTCCATTTACAAAAATAAAATAACTTTAAAATTTACCAGATTGAACCATATAAACTTTCCATATTTGCAGGTCAAAAAACATTAGTTTCAATAATTTTGTAAAATTGAACTATGCTAGGTGATTGAAAGTGCCTTGGAATATAAAGGTTAAAAGATTTTTTGCTTCTATTGTTTATGTTATGATTCAATAGCAAAAATTACCCTTCTCTAATTTTCCTAATGAAGTGGAGCAGACGATAATCACCAATATCATATTCACCCAAATGAGAGGTTTGATCCTCTTTATTCTGTGTTCACTGCAGTTATTTTTCTTGTCACTTGGCCTTTGAGTCTAAAAACTGCAGAGATGAAACGTGAATACAAAAATTATTTGAAGGAAAAGATAGTCATACCTTTCCAAAGAAATGTCTCCTATTACTAATAACATTGGTATTGTAAAAAATCTGGTTATTTTGGCAATGTAGAATATAAGTTGAAAATGTTAAGAGTGTTGGCTTTGGAATCATGTCCTGACTCCTCCACTTATCAGGTATGAGATCCAGGGAAAATTCCTTGTGCTTCTCAGACTACATTTCCTTATATGGACAGGATAGTGTTGTCTCTCGGGACATTTTAAGGATAAGGGGAAATAATGTATATAAAGGGTTAGACCTGTGACCCTGGAATAAATGGTAGTTATGCGATTTCAGTTTTAACTCTCCATACTGGAAGAACATGAGAAAATTTGATAGAATTGTGTTAAAGGCACAGGTACTTTAGAGGGATTAGTCTTTTCATACACCAGCAAAATCCTTTAAGTTCTTCCTAGCAGTGTACCTTGCCCATTCCCTGGTAGCCTTCCAAGAGGAGCGGCAGCCAGATCAGGAGCTTCCCATGACACACTGCTGAGGAAGCTTTCTGCTTCTCATCAGTTGAGAACGACCAATGTGTTCTTCATAACCAATGAAATATATAAACAAAACAAAACAAATGAAATATATAAACAACACAAAATTCCACAAAATCTAGACCCAAAAGCTCTACAACTGACTACCAAAGAGTTAACACATAAGCCATATCGCTAAGGCTGTTCAACAAAAATAAAAATGTGTTATATGCCCAAATATTCTTACTACTCTTTTTGTAAAGTAAAAACAAATGACTACTAAAAGCATGCTTTCATTTCATATTAATTTATACAAAATAAATTTATAGCACATGCTGAAACTATGGTGAAAAAGTCTTTTGAAGTGCATCACCTAAGTTTTGAAATTGCATGGTGAATTTCACGTTGAATTTAAAATTTTTAAAAAAGCAACATTTAAATTCCCTAACCTGTTATTTACTTTGCATTTTTATAAAAAAATTACTATGCTTTGCTACTGGCAAAATGGTCATTAAAAATGTAACACAAGACTATGCAGTGAAATAGAATCCATAATATATGATAGTATTATGGGTCTTAAAGCCACTCGTGCAGATGTTCCTAATCATACTAAAAACACAAATGCACAATCTGGTTCATTCCAGCTACAGAATAATTTAATTAAAAGAGTGCTTATAATTTAACAGTATAAATAATAAAGCCAAGGAGGCAGTAAAATTGCAAGGAAATATAAATCTCCAGAGGCTATGCCAAGAAAACTGTACCAAATTCTCCGTTAAGAAATCAGTTCCTTTCCTTGCTACAGGTAAAAAATAATTACCTGAATTAGCCAAAAACTATGATGAATATACCTTTAGGGTAAACACACACACACACACACACACACACACACACACACACACACACCCTAGTTAACTAGCTCTCACCAAGAGAACACCTATCTAAGCCCAGAATATAATTTAGAATCTGCTTTGGGAATGTTAAAATCAGATTTCTCACTAGTTTAATTTTCTTATTGAGACATAGAGGTGAAGTAACAGGGTACAAAAGCAAATTTGTATACACAGAAAAACATAAGCTCTAAGGACATACAGGATTCTCTTTGCAAATAATAATCTTGGCAAAGAGCCTTCTTTATGTACAGAAAGCTTTGTCCTTGCTTACAGCAACTCTCGAGGCTACAACAGGTAATTGTGTACTGCTAATTAAGTTTAAAAAATGATTGCATTCAAACCATAAGATATTTTATAGCTTGATTCAGTGAAGGTAGAAAATTATGTTGGCAAGATCAAATTATAAAAGCTCATTTTCCTACAATTACTGATTCTTTACTCTGAAACAGTATGAACTTTCATACTACAAATCTGTAGTGCCATTCAAAAGTTGGTTCAATGCTTAACTGTTAGCAAAAATAAATTTAAAAAGAAATTAGGAAATTTCTTACACATAGATATCCATGGTACCTGTTTTTCAAAGTTAATATCTATTTCATTAAATATTCAATTCATCAGATAAATTGTCAATCCTAGATCATTAGTACTTTTCCAAGAAGCAAAGTGACATCCATTCTGCAGTAAACTGGAAAAGCAAATGCAGCACATTACCTTGTGTCACCTGTTGAACTGCCAACATTATCCCAGACACTGTGTCTGGAAGCAGGTTTTCCTTCAGATTGTAACGCGGTGCCCATTCCAGAATAGGTAGCCGTCTTCTGCACCACTGTTTGATGTCTTCACAATGCAGGGTGTGCATCTTGCTCCAGCGTACACTTTTCTTTTTCCTCTTTGCCCCTGTCATTTTTCAGACTCCCTCTTGTAGAAGGCAACTTCTTTAGCCAAGAAAAAAAAAAAATGCTGCAGAACACCTCTTTTCAATGCCAGGCTCCAATTCGTCTGTGGTTTACAATGTCAAAGCTATCCAGGAAATAAATAAATAAGTGAGAGAGAGAGAGAGAGAGAGAGAGAGAGAGAGAGATTATCAGAAGAGTGTCTATATATCTTATGTTGCAACTAATTATTCTAGATAAAAACCTTGAATTCTTATCTGAGTGTGGAGTGGTGCCTGTTACTGTAATATTTTTCTGATCTTGGAAAAGTAATGGGTTCAGTGGTAAGCTGCTCTACAGCTCTCTCACCAGTAATTCCCTTTATATTCTCTGTAGTTTTATATTTTTGGCTGCAATCCCAATGGTTAATGAGGTAGTTCTGGGCGTGTGTTGGAAGTGGGCTGGGCTATGTTAATGAAACCAGGAAGCATCCTGCTAGTCCAGCCTCTCCCTCTAGCTATGCAAAATCATAAATCTGCCTAAGGGATCTGTTGTGTAAATTATTTTCAGAGAATCCAGCCACAGTTCTTTAGGAAGTATATATTTTCAACATTATCTAACAACTGCCAGCTCGATAAACTTCAGTAACACAACTTGGCACTGTAAAGATTCTTATCCTTTTTTATTCCCTGATAAGTTAGATTTTCATTCACACAAAAACATTCAATAGCCACTGCTCAGTCTGGGAAAGGAATTGCTAGTTCTCATAAACAAACTGAAATTTCATCACATGGGCTAAGAAAATAAGTATCACAATGAACAAATATTTGTGGCTAGTGTTCTTCCCCATCTCAAAACTATCCATTTAGCTCTCTGTGTTTCTCTAAGCTGTATAATTCACATACTTGTGCTACAGTAGCTGAAATTTATTGAGAAATAACATATCCTTCAAACTATTGTTTAAAGTGTCCCTAAGCTCTTGAGTTTGTTGTGGTATCCTCAGTTCACATAACTTTTAGGGGTTCTTTTCTTCTTAAGAAGGGGTGTTACATTTTCTAATAGGATAAACAGATGGTCAAAGATTTTTATTTTATGATTATTTCCCTCAGCCCCCCAGAAGAAAAAGACTGCATTTATGAGCTCTGCCATTGGAATTAAACCAAAAAGCCAATACTCTAACTAAAATTATGAAGCCAAGAAAAGGAATACCATGTATATAGTTTGCTGCAGCACTTTTTAATGCCCATTTGTCCAGAGAATGGAAATCTGTTTTCCGTAAGTCTTGATAGTAATAAAGTATTGGATCCCTTAGCTACTTCTAAGGACCTCTGCTGTACTTTCTCCCATTTTTCTTAAAGTGAAGAGCTACAGTCTTGGCTCTCCAAAGATGACATCCTTGCTTCAAATCTGTACAATAATATTTCTTTTCAAATTCAATGAGTCCTAAATAGAGAGTGAGAGAGAAAAGAGGGGAGGGAGAGAGGGAGAAAGATTCACTTTATGTGTATCTACAAAATATGCTTTGTATCTTATTATTTACCTTATATTAAATTTCCAAACAGTTCAACAGCTCAGGTTTGAGGCATGTAGACATTTCCATTTAGAGACATTTTTAAAGTTGTTAGCCTTGTAACGCTATTCTTTTGGTATAAGAAGTGGACTCACCAGAAAAATGCAAATCCACTCCTAGTAAAAAGGTTTTCCTTCACAAACAATAATATTTAACTTCATCCCATGTACTGCATTATACACACAGATTGTGATTGTTTGATTTAAAAGGTCATAAGAAGCTAGTCAGTGGGGTAGGGGAGCAAGAATGGTCACACTGCTTTTGCTAGTAAGTTTATCAGAGATAACATGAATTCAAACATACCAATAATCAAAGTAATCTTTTAAGATATAAATAATATGATCAAAATAATATTTTTCTATTGGCCCACAACTGCAGTAGAATATTATACAAGGTATAATTAAAAAATGGCATATGTTCAAAGCTGGGGGAGTATTTTGAGGCAGTGTCTTTTCCTGTAATGAATAGTTTTGAAGTAAACAGTCACCGTACATTGGGGATAAATTAATATTCAAGTCACACAATAACTCTTCCTTTTCCATAGAAAAGGAAGAGTTCATTTCCACTAAGAAAAAGGCTTCCCACCCCACCTACGCCCTCCATGTCCCTAGGTCAGTATTCTGTTTCTGGCTCATTACTTTGACTGTTCATCAATTGGTCTCTACACCAATTTCTCTAGTTCTAAATCTCTTAAATATTTACCCAATTTTCCTTCCATGAACCCTTCCTCGGCCGGAGTTCTGCTCATGCTGTATAATCAACATTCAGATAATCCTCGGGCTACTTCTGGGCCATTTTCATAGTTTATTGGTTTTCTTCCTTTAAATCTGCTTCATGTGATTTTATTCAGTGTGGCTCATAAGATTTTAAATTCCTTATGAGTAAGGATTATACCCATACTTTGCTTTGTCTCTTTCCTTAGGATCTAGTAGAAGGAGCTGCAGAAACAGGATGCACCCAGGAAGTTTCAATATACAATGTTCCTACCCTGAAATTTTCTAAGAAGCACCTAGTACTTCTCAGTTGGACTTGCAGGCTATGCTGTTACATTGTCAGGAAAATACATGAAGAACAAGAATTAAACATATTAAGAGAAAAATAAGGATGGATTTTTTTATCTTTTCTTGCTCAACTTCTCCTTGTTCTCCCTGAATCTAAGAAAAAAAAATTTCAGCACAGATCCTCTTCTGCATCTTATACAATCTGGAGCATAGAGAGGAAAACTAGATGGGACATGAATGAGGAGGCACAAGAGAGGTAGAAAATGTCATAGCCTGAGGCTTCAGAGAGAGTTTGAAGAGTTGGTGTATGAGAGTCCCTGGAGCAGTTATGAAGTGCAAGGGAACTGGGCCAGGCTTGAGTGAGGTAAGAGTCTTTGGGGAAATACTGTGCAGGTTATAAATTGGATCACATTTAATGGTTTTTGAGAGACAAAAATGACATTCTTCTCATAGGACTTTTGATTTAAGCATGGTGCTTCACCTGTGCAGAGACCGGAACGCCTAAAGCATTTATTTATATCCAAGCTACACTTGGAAATAGAAACTCATAACCTTGAATAGCATCAATCCCTAACTCAAACCTACTTCAAACCAGTTGATCTATGGGGTTTCTAATAAGGAGACATTGCAAAAATCTCCCATCTGGAGGGGAGAGTGGAGGCTGAAGTGAAAGGCATTCTCAGTTCATGAAGCCAAGGAACCGGCCTGGGGACACATCCACACAGAGGCAGCCAGGGTGCCTTCTCCTCATTTACCCAGAGTTTCACATAGGTTGGCACAGCCCCAAGTCCAACTTCTGTTTTAACATTTTCAATGACTGAAATTAACAGTCTTAGAAAAATAGCCTATTCCAATATTCAGACATTATGAGCATTAGAACATTTTTTTCCTAATTTTTGAGCCAGTATCTGCTACTTGAGATTTCTGTTCTTTGGTCTTTATCCTAATGTATATGGCACATAAAGAGACCCTGCTGCTTCGGGTCTAATTCATTCACTGCTGCACATGCACACACACACACACACACACACACACACACACACACACCCTGATTTTTTTCTGATGATGTTAATTTCATAAATATCCTTATATTTAACTGTGGGTATACATCTGTAAGTCAACTGCAGTCCTGAAGGGTGCAGTTAATCTTTTTTCTCACAACAGGCCAACCAATTCAGTATAGCGAACAAAATTCTGTGCTCTCAAAACTGTCAGTCTGTTTTTTACCACGTATTTTTTCTTTCTGCCATTATTTTATGTTCTCTGATGTATTTTGTCTTGTAAAAGGGACCAAAGAGAAATAAGTTTAGTAAAGTAAAAACTGCCTAGAAAAAGAATCAAATGCATGTTTTACAATAAGACTTTCAAAATACGGAAATGGAGGACAAAGTGAGAGAAAGAAAAAACATTGAGAATAAAAGAAAAAGGAGGAAGAAGAAAAGAAGAGGACAGGTGGAAAGGAGGAGGAGAAGAGGAGAAGGAGGAGAAAAGGGAAGAAGAAGGGGAGGGATAGGAAGGGAAGGGGGAAGAGGAAGAGAAGGGAGAGGAAGAAAGAGGGGGGAAGGATGAGGAAAGGAAAGGGAGATGAAGGAAAGGAGTACAGAGGGGAGGAGGACAAGAGAAGGGGGAAAGGGAAAGGAGGAGTAAAAAGTAGCAACTCATTGAAGAGTAGCAAAATCCTTTTCTTATTTTGGCCAAAAATTTATAAATGTTAATTACTATAAACTATACATGAGGACTCACCATAATTTAAGATGATTTTAAGATGCAAAATAATAAAATAACAGGGATTTTTCCAGTAAACTGCTAAAGATTCACCTCCCTAAGGCCTGGATAATTGTGGGTCCTTAGCTGGCAGTCCTGATGTTAGCAACCATATTTGGGGGAATATGCACCCCCATGCTAAAGGAAATGTCTATATAATGGAAGATTATGATTGTGCCTGTCCTTGCGTTCTCGTTTTCTAGCCACATGTCCTACATTCCTACAGTTATTCTATGTATAAAAATTTTTCAACATTTTACTTTCAAGCTACTTGTGTGTATTTAAAGCATATGATCGGGTCTTCCTTTTTTAATCCAGTGCCAATCTCTGCTTTATGTAGACCATATCAATTCAATGCAAGGATCGGTATGGTTGGGTTCCGATCTTAGCCTTGCTTGTCAGATTTTCTGCTCCAGTCATGGAAACTGTGTGACTTACTAGGATCACTCCCGACCATGTCCTCCGTGTCTGCAGTGGCTCACACTCATGTTTTGATCTTTACTTAGTTGAACATTCTGCATGTACAGATTTGTAGGATTCTGACTCAGTTTGTCTTCTTTTTTTTTTTTTTTTTTTTTTTTTTTTCCCCGGGGCCAACACGGGGGTCTTCTCGCTGAAAAACCCAGGGATCCAACTCGGGACTTTACGCTTATGAGGCAACAGCGACACCACTGAACTAACTCCCCGGCCTCGTCGTCTCTTTTTGATACTTTCTGCAAGAAATCCAGCTGATTTGGCCTCTTTGGGTTTTAGTTATTTCTCTTCAACCTAGGAAGAAAGGGGAAGTTTCCTCTTGGGTTCTCCTGCAGCACACACTCTGCTCCAAGGCCTGGTGACATTGCTGGTAGGAACCTTGATCATCATAAGAGTATTTCCTTTCATCTCTCTAAGATCTTTGTCCACCATGGGCTGATGTTGAAAGTCTTCTTTTTGCTCTCCAAAATCTTGACAACATGGTTTCATATAATGTGTCGGGTTATTTTCATTTGTTTTAGGTAGTACTGAAAATCTAAAACTGGATAGAAATGGAAATTACCCCTTTTATAATTTTATGGCCACCTTGCCCATGACATTTTCAGCTTGTCATTTTTCTTTTTCTAATGGGATACTAAAATCTAACACAGCACTTAGCTGTATTCTCATATTAAAAATAGAAACAATACCAAATGATTACATTCTTTTCCCAAATCCACTTCTGTTAAGTGATGTAATTTCCCATTCCTTTTTTATTGAAGGCATATTTTATAAAAACCTGAACACCACTTTTGTATTCAACCTTCTCTGATACCTTGAATCTGATCATTAATCCATTATATTAAAAATTTCATTAATCTGATTCTATCATTACTAAAACTGATAATTACAATGTTTCATTCTGCCATATTAGCTATTGCTCCAAACACTGTAATCTGTATTAGTCAGTTCAGGTTGTCATAACAACATGCAAAAGATTGGGAAACTCGAATACCAAAAATCTATCTCATGGTTCTGGAGGCGGAGGTGTCCCAGATGAAAGTGCCTCTTGATTAAACTCGCTAATGAAGGCTTCCTTACTGGCTTTCAATAACCACCATCTCTCTGTGTTCTCACAAAGCAGAGAGAGAAAAGGAATTGCTGTCTCCTCTTACAGGTGCACCAATCCCATCATGAGAGGCAAAGCCCTCATAATTGCATCAAAACCCAGGTGACTCCCAAAGGCCCGACTCCTCATATCACATTACAAATCAATTTCAACTATGAATTGTGGAGGCATAAAACTCAGTGCATAGTATTACCCCAAAGCTGACTTGACTAACTCTTTACTCAAAGCATCAATAAATAAGAAAATCAGATGTATTTGCTAGTCCACATATGTCAGATTGAAATTTATTCTTTAGTAGGAAGTATTGGAGAACAGACAGTCAAATGGAATTTTCAAGGTGGAATTTTCACTGTGTCCAAAAAGTTATCATCTTAAGAGCTCATTTCAACTTATTTCTGAAATCAAGTATACCATCTTCAGCAGTCAAGTAGTTTTTTTGTTGTTGTTGTTTTTTATTTTTTTTGGTACCGGGGATTGAACTCGGGTCTTTGCGCTTGCAAGGCAGGCCACCGAACCGCTGAGCTAA